TCCATGAACATGCATTCCCCACTGACATGGGACTTCAGCACCCGGGGAAAGCACGTGTGCTCTGCTCACGCACTAGCAGAATAACCCAACCTTTATCTTTAGGGAACTGGTCGTTATTGCTGCCAGGTGGCAAAGCAGTGATAGTGTCACATTTCACTTTAAAGGTGATGTGATATTATCACGTTTCCTTTTGAAGGTGACTGGGCTTCAGAAGAGGGCAAGTGGTATCTGGAATCAAATTAGGGGAACGTACTAGATTCTTTGAGGGAGAGGAAAAAATTACTAGTGTGATAAAGACTACTGAGGCTGCTAGTTAAGTGAGGTTTCCTCAGAGCTGCAGCCTGGTGGAGTTTCCGCCTGCAGTGCACTGGGGAGAACATTCCATTAAGCGGTGCTAGAAAGTCTGGAACATTCCACTGAGTGGTGCTTAAAAAGTCTGAGACAGTGGAGGGGGTGTAGTGACTGCTGTTTTGGCTCCTGGAGTGAGGGGTCTTCTGGACTGTTCCCTAGGCACCCCTTGGCCACCTTTTTCCACCTGTTCTTCCGAGTGAGTGCGATTGTCACCTACATATGCTGTGACTGGTTCAGCAAAAGCTTTGTGGGCTGCTTTGTCACTGTGCTGCTCCTTCTGTCCTTGGACTTCTGGTCTGTGAAGGTAAGGCCCCTTTCTCGCCTATGATGTCATTGTTCCTGAAACACGTGGCCTTGCTTGCGGAGGGTGATGTTCCGGGTGCATATGGCTTTAGAAAGGGTAAATGATTTTGGATCAAGCGGTACTTTGGTTTAGACTACTGATACATATTTAAGAATATTCAACCAGTGTCTAGTAAAATTAGTGAAAAAATACATTGCTTAGTGTGTAATAAATGACTCTTGGTATCAACAGTCACGGTTGCAAATATGTATCATAATGAGTGTGACAACTGCACATGGCTTTGGGTTTTTTGGTAAAACCTACATATATACAAATATATATTTTAAACATGTGATATATAAACTCTATACATACACACATATATGTACATTCATACATATATATATACACACACATACATCCATTCTTGGGTGGCACAAATGGTTAAGTACTCGACTACTAACTGAAAGGTTGGTGGTTCAGACCCACCCAGAGGGACCTCAGAAAAAAGACCTGGTGATCTGCTTCTGAAAGGATCACAGCCTTGAAAGCCCTGTGAAGTACAGTTCTTCTCTGATGCACAAGGGGTTGCCATGAGTCGCAACTGACTCAACAGCAGCTAGCTTGGTTTATTTAAGTATATAAATAAAATTTAGGGAGTCTGTCACTTTTTAAGGAGCCCTGGTGGCACAGTGGTTAAGAGCTTGGCTGTTAACCAAAAGGTTGGCAGTTCGAATCCACCAGCTGCTCTTTGGAAACGTTGTGGGCAGTTCTACTCTGTCTTACAGGGTCACTATGAGTTGGAATCGATTCGACAGCAACGGGTTTACGGGTCACTTTTTAAAGTAAGCTTCATTAAAAATCACAAGCCTGGAAAACTGGTTTTGAGAAACCACTCCACTACCTTTCAACTCCCTTTTCCTCCTACTCCTATTACAAATTTAATATGAATTGGTGAGTTTTATTTTAGCTCATCAATAAGATGATGACTCTATCTTTGATGCTCACGGTGTCAAATGGAGGCTTTTGCAGTCATTTTGTACATTTTCCTCAGAATGTCACCGGAAGACTCATGGTGGGCCTTCGATGGTGGAATCAGATAGATGAAGATGGGAAAAGCCACTGGATATTTGAAGCCAGAAAGGTATTCTCCGTCAAGAGTTGAGCTAACTAGAACTGGAAGAGTGGTTGTGGAAAGCTTCCATAGGTTCCTTTCAGGTTTTGTGCGTATGTGATTACTGCCCTACACAAACACCACTACTGCTGGTGCTCCGTGGAGACACGCATGCAGTAAAAGCACACGTAAGATAAATACAGATGACAGCATGCTGCTTTGGAACCATTTTCACTGGTATTGAAAATAGAATTACTTTCCCACAACAGGTCTCTTCTAATAATATCACTGCCACAGAAGCGGAGGCTCGGATCTTCTGGCTCGGTCTCATCATTTGCCCAATGATTTGGATTGTGTTCTTTTTTAGCACCTTATTCTCCTTGAAGCTAAAGTGGCTGGTAAGACAATAACCTTGACTTTTTTTTATTTTATTTTATTTTTGTTGTTGTTGAGAACATACACAGAACATACGCCAATTAAAGTTTCTACGTGTACAATTCAGTAGTAACATTGATTACATTCCTCAAGCTGTGCAACCATTCTCACCCTCTTTTTCCGAGTTGTTCCTCCCCATTACCATAAACTCACTGCTCCCTCAGTTTCCTGTCTGATCTTTCTTGTTGCTGTTGTCAATTTGATCCCATATACACAGATCTTAAATGAATATAATGCTCAAGGCAGACATGGTTTACTAGTTAAGCTATTGTTTGGTTTTAAGAAGACTTCAGGGGATATTTTTGGTTTAAGGTTTAAAGATGATCTCAGGGCAATAGTTTCAGGGGTTCACCCACCTTCCACGGCTCCAGAAAATCTGGATTCCATGAGAATTTGAAATTCTGTTCTGCATTTTCCTCTTTTGATCATGATTCTTTTATAGAATCTTTGATCAAAACTTGATTTTGACATTCCTTTGATAGCTGTATGAAACCAGTGGGGACAGGAGTGTTTTTTGTTTTGTCTTTTTGGGTGTTGTTGTTATCATTATCTACCTACCAGCTTTGAGATATAATTCAAATACCATACAAGTCACCCATCTAAAGTGTACAATTCAGTGGTTTTTAGTATATTCAGGGTTGTGGAACCATCACCACAATCAATTTTAGAACATTTTTTCATCACCCCAAAAAGAAATGCTACACCCATTAGCACTCACTCTCCTTTCTTCCCTTCTCCCAGCCCACGGCAACCACTGATCTACTTTCTGTCTCTTGATTTCTGGACATTTCATATAAATGAAATCATACAATATGTGGTCTTTTGTGACTGGCCTCTTTCATTAAGCATAACGTTTGAGAGGCTTATCCATGTTGTAGCATGTATCTGTGCTTCATTACTTTTTTACGGCTGAGTAATATTCCACGGTGTGGAGAGACTTGTTCTTTATCCATCATCATCATCAGTTAATGGACATGTTTCCTCCCTTAGGCTGTTGTGAATAATGCTGCTGTGAAAGGCATTTTAGACACAGCACAAGACATTCTGTGTTGGTCAGGGAGGCCTCCCTAAGTGGGAATAAGCCTTCCTCAGAGTGCTGAAGTTTTATTTTGGAGGTACTATATGTCACTGCCAGGACCTGGCTCATTCGGTGTGAAAACAAAGTATCCAAAGACAGTATAAGCAGTTGCATAACTGAAGTATGGGCTCTGGAGTTTGGGTCCTGATTCAACCATGTGTCCACTCTGTGACCTTGGGCAACTTTAGTTTCTCTGGGCTTCACTTTCCTCCCTGTGCAGTGGGATGATAATGATACCAACTGCAAGCAGTTACCAGAGGTTGTCTACATGGGAGTATCTGTTAAGTGCTCAATAAATGTTAGCTGTCACTATTAGGTATAGGGAAGAGCCACTTCTTGGTTTCAGTATTTGCTCTTAGAAAAGTCACACCTCTGCTTTGTCTGAGTGCAGGCCCTTGTGATCGCTGGGATTTCTCTCCAAGCCGCCAACCTGTATGGCTACATCCTTTGTAAGATGGGAGGTGAGAGTGACATCAGCAAAGTCACATCCAGCTTTCTGTCCCAGACAGTGTTCCAGACGGTGAGTTACTGAGGTCTGATTCCTGGATCCCTACATACGAGGCCCTCAAACAGGAGGCCTGTTGGCAACTGCAGTTTTTAATGTTTTCCACATTAGCCAGGCTGCTATTGTTAGATTTAAGAAATTTTTAAAAATTATCAAATTAAGAAGGAAAAAACCCACGAGGTTTTTTGTTTTTCTACCATGGACACCTTTAGCAAATATTTCTAGAAGTGAGGAATGAGTTTGAATTTTGGGCCAGGCTCATCCTGAAGCAGTCTGGGGATCCTAACTCTGAACAGCGCTGCTTCAGGCCGTGGCACTCACCAGCTCTGCAGGCCATGAGGACACTGCAGGTCTGCCCTGGCCCCAATCGGCACGGGAACATGGTGACTTTTCCCCTTGCAGGCCTGCCCAGGTGACTTCCAGAAGCCTGGCCTTGAGGGGCTGGAGATCCACAAGCATTAGGTGAGGAGGGGATCAGGACATGGTGTGGGCTGCCCAGGCCTGGGGAGCTTGGGAGAAGTGTAGTGTCCCTGGGCCCAGCTGGGCTGGTGGCCTGGGGGTGGCTTCCTCCAGTTCCCTGAGGTGGCGGAAGTCACAGCCAGGCTAAGGACTGTGCACCAGGACCCCACCCCTGGGGCTCTGCAGACTCATTATCCATCAAAGGGGGGATCGTCCCATCTTCCGCACACTGAACTTGTGCAAATTCTACCATCTGTAGCAGGCACAAAGGAGTGGATGGGGATGGGGAGGGGCAATGAGAGAAGGGGAGGGAAAGAACAGGGGGATTTCTCATCCTTCCACTTCTGTGCCCCAGAGAGAGATGGAAAACAGGAATTCATTCTTTCCCCTGCTGCTCAGTTTCTGTGTGGCTCAAACACAGTGAGCATCTCATGGCAGCGCAGCGAGGGTCGTTCTAGGGTTTCTGTCTGTCTCTCCTTTGTAATTAAAACCATCATAAGCTGTTTGGTATGCCAACTCATTACAGACGCAGTTCCTGACTGCACGTTATAGACACGGGAAATTACTGGATTGATTATACACACATACTATGCGGGGTGTATACACAACCACAAATTCCATCCTATATGGGCGATTTGAGGGCTTTTCAAGGGCTATTTCCATGGCACCTAACTTCACTGTATGCGCTGACCTCGGAACTGATCCCTGGCATGAGGTTCTACCACCATGTTAACTTTTGATCAATTTGAAGAGTAACTCTTTGGACTATGCTGTTTGAAAACGTGACTGTGTATTTTGCAGTTAAGCAACATGTCCATCCCTCTGGTTCTTTTTTAGGTCTCTCTTCAGCGGCAGAAATGGTTTCAGTGAAGGCTTTTCTAATTGAACAACTTCCAACAAAGAAGATTCCATGATCCCATAACCCACGTGTTTTTCACGTGAAGGAAGCCCTGGAGAAGTTTTGGAGGAGAAGTTTTTATTTTTAAAACGACGTATTTGTCAAGAATGCTCTTTACATATATTCTAAAGGAAAGTGTGCAAGAATTAGATGGTTAAAGTGTCTCTGAAGAAGTGACTTCGAACCACGCCTGAGCCTGGTTCCTGGACCCCCGGGACCCCACTCTACCCCAGCAGTGCTGCTGGCCCAGTGCCTCAGCTCGGTGCCCGCTTGCGTCCTTAATGTTTTCCGAGTTTCAGGAACCGGTGAGTTGCTCCTCATGTGAAGGGTGCAGACTACAAAACTCTTGGATTCCTAGAAAAAAAGGCAACAAGCAAAGAAGCACCAGTGGCTCTTCAGTCCCCGAGGCAGCTGTCCCTTTGCTGGGGAGGGCAGCGTACTGACCAGGCATGACCCCCAGATGGCCTCACTCAAGCCGCATTCCAGCCGATGCCCAGAATCTTCAGCAGTGAACCTAATACCACATGCTGCCCATTCTTGGTAATGACACACACTGCGGCCTGACAGCAGCCCATTCTGGACATCGAGAATCCTGGGAGCAGCGTTACTTACCCTTGACACTATTTTACTAGACCAACTGAAGCTGGCCACAGATGAGGTGGCTCCAGCTTCCATAGCCGCCACCCTACCTGGAATCTGAGGCCTTCCACGGCTGCCCACCAGCAGCATCAGGCCTGCAAGTGGTTTTTTGTTAATCACTTTTTTTTTTTTTACAGCTTTACTGAAATGTATTTCCCATACCATAAAACTTGTACTCACCATGTTTTCTTAACTATGAATTAGCTCACTACACTTAACAGTCATGGGAAGATTTCTCACAGACTTCTGATTCCTGGCTTCCCTGCTGAGGGGAGCCACTCCCCAGGTCACCCCAGTCCCCACTCGTCATCCTAAATGGAAGGCGGGTCTTCTCACACCCAGCCCGCTGAGCTCACTCATGTCACCTCCTGGCCCCGTAGGATCCGGAGGTTACATGACTCACTCACTTACTTTGGATTATACTTCTGTAGGCTAATGTGGCTGGCGAATCCGGGGCTTCAGTCAAAAAAGACTGTCCTTTGTCACAACTCTTTCCTTAAAGAAACAAATAGAAGAAAGTTAAACCCAGGACGGGAGAACACAGTGGCACCATGACCTCAGAGCTCTTCGGGCTCTTCCTGTCCCAGTGCTACGATGGTGCGCTCGTGGCAACCCCAGCTTACCCATGATGAAGAAAGCTGGGTGAGGAAGTCGGGGTCTCCAGAAACCCAGCCGCCCCCATCACTCAGCAGGGACCCCGCGCTAGCACTTCAACACAGCTCTGACCCATGCCTGGCTCACTGGTGTGCCTACAAGTCATCTGGGTGGTGTGTGGCCAATGCAGGGTCCAGGGCCCCATGAAGAATTGACCCGGTAGCTCCTGGATGGGCCCAGGAACACGCATTTTAAAAGATCAACTAGTTCTTTTTAACAAAAAGATAATAAATGTGCATGGTAAAAAAGTATGGAATGCATAGGATCTATCAGAAAAAGTAAGTTCAAAAGGATACACGTGTTCTGCCCATTGCTTTTTTTTTAAAGTAATATTTTATTGTGTTTTTGGTGAAGGTTTACACAGTAGTTTAGGTTCCCACTCAACAGTTTCTACATAAGTTGTTCAGTGACATTCTTCGCATTTTGTGCATGTTCTCATTATTTCTGTTCTAGTTGATCCGTTTCCATTAACCTAGGTTCCCTGCCCCTTACATTCTCATCTTTGTCTTAAAGTATCATTTACCGTTCAGTCTCGTATAAGTGGTTTTTCAAAAGAACACAGTACTTACAGGTGATATTCATTATTTTTTGAGCCAATCTGTTATTTAGCTACAAAGCGACCTCGGGTTAGTTTCAGTTCAAGGTTTGAAGAGTATCTCAGGGCGACAGTCTTGGGGAACGTCCAGTCTCAACCAATCCAGTATGTCTGGTTTTGTTTTTTGAAGAAATTTGAGGTTCTGTTCCGTATTTTTCTCCCATTCTATCAGGGTCCATCTATTGTATCTCTGATGAGAATGGTTGGTAGTAGTAGCTGGGCACCATCTACTTCTGGGCTCAGGAAAGATGAGGCCATGGTTCATACAGACTATCTGTCCTACAGACTAGTTTCTTCTTTGAGTATTTAGTTTTCTTCTTTCTCTTTTGCTCTGGATGAGCAGAGACCAATAGTTGTTATCTTAGATGGCCACTCACAAGCTTTTAAGACTCTAAACACTACTCACCAAACTAGGATGTAGAATGTTGCCCACTGCTTTTTTAACATACAATTGTATCTTGAAGGTCATTCCACATGGGCACCTTTAGGTCTGCTAGTCTTTCCCTAGCCACGTGGTTACTCCCTTCAGGGAGGTGCAGCCAGTCCCCTCCTATGGACATGAAGCTTGTCTCTGGAGCAGCATGTCAGGCAGCGGCCCAGGGGACACAAGGCAAGGCCTCAGACCCTCCTCTGAGAGCCTCTGTCCCGGAGATTTTCCCCCTCCTCCTCTGGCTGCTCTGCCAACCCTCAATCCTAGGGAAACCTGCTCCATCCCCGCTCCCAGAAGCTGAGTGCTACTAGAGAAAGCTGAGAGACAGGGCCATGTTGTTCCACTGCCCACTCCTGTGCTCCAACTTCAGGTGGACCCCGGCAAAGCCAACGTGCCAGTCATCACTCCCTGACTCCCAACTGTGTTGCTGCTGGGACAGGGAAACCTGAGAGAGGGAAGGGGCCTGTGGTAAGAGGGAGATGGAAGAGGGGTGTCCCATACAGGCCTGGGCTATGCTGGGGATGTAGTGGGACCAGCAAGGGAAGCCCTTGAGTTCACGTTGGCCAGGATAGGTCTGGGAGGTCAGTGGTCCCAGAACAGTCGTGTAAGGACCACTTTGTTCCTTTGGTTTCCCCAGTTTTCTGTGGGGGCATCTGAGTGGCGGATACTTGCTCTTATGCAGGGACTGGTATGTGGAGACTCAGCAGCAGGCCGGGTCAGTGTGAAAACTGCTCACTGAGTGTCTGTCACACTAGGGAAGGCTGAAGACACCACTGAGGTTTTCTGCATTTTGTGGGGAAGACCATACACTAGAGAAGTATTTTTAAATGTGGGAACAAGGGGGATCTTAGGATACACCCCTCCCTGTGCCCAGGGTCTCCAGGGCTCCTCCTGAGGTGATTCCCACCCCTTTCCCCACTTCCTCAAGGCAGGCATCCCCCAAGTTGTATTCTCATCCCTGTCCTCACTACAGTCCCCCTTGGGGACTCGAGTCTCCCCTCGAGGGGCATGACCCTCCACTGCTGACCACTCTCCTCTCTCAAGCCTGCTGCACAAACCAAAGCCTCTCCTGTCTCTCGCTTGCGGCACCCAAAGGGAGGCCACCCCCCACCCAGACTGTACCCTCCTCTCAACAGCACCCCCTCTGCATTCACTGTTTCTGTGAGTGATATCCCTCTTTCAAATGACTTGCGCTGGACACCACAGACCTCTTGACGTCTCTCTCTCCCTGGCCATCAAAGCCTGTCACTTTTACCTCTTGTGTGCCCCTTCCTCCCACACCAACACCCAGACCCCTGGTCAGGTCCTGACCTCACAATGCAGACACCACCGCCTCCTTCCTGCCAGTCCCCCCATGTAGCCAGCCCCCAGGCTGCCTCCTAGGTACATACGGCTGCTCCTCCTGCCCAGGCTCAGAAAGCTTAGTGTTCCTCATTCCCTGACAGATGAAGTCAGAGCACCAAGGCTCGGGTGCAAAACCATCCACACCTGAGCCCTGGCCCCGACAGCCACCTCTTGCTGCTTCTCTGCAGACCCAGGCACCGCCACTAAACGTGACATTCCAACTCCCTGTTGAAGGGGTCATGTTGCAGGCATGCATAACTGAAGCAAGTTCAGTGCTTCTGTCTTGGGGAAACAAGACGTCACACAGCAAGCCTAAGCCCTTGGCTGGAGTGGAGACAGGACCGGCCATTCCTCCTTTGGTTCCCATGGGCCACTCACACACGTGTCTCACGCGATTGGGGAGATTCTGGTTCTTCGAGAGAAGCATTTTTCATGTAGCATGGCCCCTGACACAGGCCAGTGACTTCACCTAGTGCTCATGGAGAGAACCAGGGTCGTCTCAGCACTGGAGGCAAAGGGGCTATGCTGCCTTCCCAGAGACAGAATCCCTAACCAATCACTATGGTCTCCCAGGCCCAGCTACCACCGCCACCTCCCTGAGGTTGCCTGGCTCACTTGGCTACATGGGAGCCCTGGTGGCGCAGTGGTTAAGAGTTCAGCTGCCAACCAAAAGGTCAGCAGTTCGAATCTAACAGGCACTCCTTGGAAACCCTATGGGGCAGTTCTACCCTGTCCTATAGGGTCGCTGTGAGTTGGAATCAACCCAACGGCAATGGGTTTTTTGGTTTTTGGCTACGTGTCCACTGTCCACATGTTCAGCTGATCTTCCTCTACGGCAGCAGCATGGCCAGCCTCACGCGGAGGTCAGCTGCAGCATCAGCTCCTGGAGGACAGGGTCTGGGCTGGACCTTTGCCAGACCATGGTGGATGATCAGGGAATGAAGGCCCCAATCAGCGGCAGTGGGTTGGGACTGGGTGTGCAGACTTACCCACCTATTTGTGGATCCAGAGGCACTTTGCCGAGGAGAGGGATCTTCAGGTCCTGGCACATGGCCTCCGCGCCCCCAGTCGTTGGAGGGAAAATCTGCGACTCTTTCTGCAAGGCAAGTTAAAAGGGGAGGCAGACATGATTCTGTTTCAGGATCATGAGAAGAGACCACATTTTAAAGGAACTTAAAAACAATGACTTATTTGGAATGTGAAACAACTAAGCACCAAAAGATTTTCATTAAGTCAGCAATAAATGGTTTTAATTGTAAATCCACTTCCTGAAAGGATGGAGAAGACAGAAAGGGCCCCACAGAGCGCCATTCCTATGATTTTCTCAAGCACGAAAGAAGGGCATTTTGTTTAGGAAACTGACAACTGGGCATGCCCTCACCTTACACGTAGGGCAGACAAAGCCACTCATGTTCTCCACCACCCCGATGACAGGCAGCTTCACCTTGTGGCAGAAGTTGATTTCTTTCCGGACATCCTGGAGTGATACTTCCTGTCAAGGTTGAAAAAGACCAGTTATTCCAAAACCAAAGTGTAAGACACAGAATGTGTTTATGTGGTCCAGGGGACACTGGAATGAAGCCTTGGACCTTTGTGTCATTCATTCAGTAAATACTTATTTAGTGCCTACTATGCACTAAGCAAGAAGCCCTGGTGGCACAGTAGTTAAGCACTCGGCTGCTAACCAAAAGGTCGGTGATTCAAATCTACCAGCTGCTCTGCAGGAGAAAGATGTGGCAGTCTGCTTCCATAAAGACTGCAGCCTAGGAAACCCTGTGGGGCAGTTCTACTCTGTCACATGGGGAGACTATGAGTCAGAATCGACTCAACGGCACCTAACAACTACAACAAGGCTTATTTGTCAACTGCAAATGCCTGGATCAAAGATCCAGTTTTTAACAAAAGGTTCATGCAGATCCAAAATGGGTGCTGCTGCTGAACTCACACTCTGAAGTCTCAGAGCGGGTCTCAGAACCGCACAGTAAAGAAGCACCGGGAAGCTGCAGACAACCTGAGCCCAGCTGCCATCTGGACGTTGAGTGAAGCCCAGACTCACCTGGGGAGTGGTGATTATCACAGCTCCATCGATGTGTGCTCCCGAGAGATACTGAACAACTGAGAGGTGCTCGTCAGAAGTCCCAGGTGGCGTGTCCACAATGAGGTAGTCAATCTCCCCCCAGTCCACATCACGGAGGAACTGCTTGATCATGCCTGGAAAGAGAGATCCGGAGGGGATGCCACGTGTGTCCTTTTCTGAACGTGTGACTCTTATAGAAACGTAGTTGTGTGATCGTTATGTACATTTAGTCTACGCTGTAAATCAGTGGTTCCCAAGCAGGGAGATTCTGTCCCTAGAAGATACTGGCAAAGTCTGGAGACAGTGTTGGCTGTCATGTTGGGGTGTGCTACTGGCATCTGATAGGCAGAGGGTAGGGATGCTGCTAAAAGTCCTGTAATGCACAGGACAGCCCCCCACAAAGAATTATCTTGCCCAAAATGTCAATGGTGCGAAAGCTGAGGAACCCTGGACTAACATTTTTGAATTATTAAGTCCCAATACCAAATCTGTCCATTACTGGTTTCCCTTCACACACTTCTCTGATGCAAATAAGCTACTATATAACCATAATAAAAATAATTTCAGAGCTATATACGTTTTAAGGAGAGAAAATTTACAACAGGTATTAAAAATTATAAAACAAAAACTGGCATTATTTATATTAGCTCTCTTCAACTAGTGAAGAAAAAGGCAACCAGATGTTTAAAATCACACACTAAACCCTGGTGGCGTAGTGGTTAAGTGCTATGGCTGCTAACCAAAAGGTCGGCAGTTCAAATCCACCAGGCACTCCTTGGAAACTCCATGGGGCAGTTCTACTCTGTCCTCTAGGGTCGCTACGAGTCGGAATCAACTCGACAGCAGTGGGTTTCTTTTCAGTTTATGGAGGTCAGCAAAAGAAGCCTGCTACCAGCCTGACAGCACAGGATGCAAATAAAGCCGAGAGCAAATAATGGCCTTGGAGGAACGTGACAGAGATAAGTAGCAGTGTGACAAACCATTTTTCTTTGGTCCCCTCCAGATAACGGCATCATCAGGACTGCTGAGCAAGAAACCCACCGACATCACCCCCAGGTTGTCTTCAACATACTGGAGAGGGGACGGAAGAAGGAGGCACAGAGACTATCACTTCACAAGACACACTTTACTTAAAACACAAAGGACTTCCCTAGGTCTTCTGACTAATTTCTGGCTGCAAAAACCACTTTCAGGACAAAATTACCACATAACCTATGAGTATATTTGCTCTTTGTATTCTCAAATCACTTTTGGAAAAAAAGAAAGTTACCATACTGGGTGGTGGGGAGGATTTGAAGGAGGCACCGTGTAGCCCTATGCTGCAATCACAGTGATCTTGAATGACATAAATGAACGTCCTCTCCTTAACTGTCTTAACTAGGGACTGGCAAACTACAGCCCCTGGGGCCAAACCTGGCCCATTGTCTGTTTTTGTAAATAAAGTTTTATTGGAATACAGTCATGGTTGTTCATTTACATATTATCTATGGCTGCTTTGAAGCTATAACAGCAAAGACTGTAAGGCCCGTAAGATGAAAACATTTACTTATCTGATCCTTTACAAAAAATGTTTGGTCTTAATTATATCCCCTATGCCTAGAAAAGTGCCTAATAAATATTGTTGACTGCAAAAGAATGGATTAAGAAAATGTGAACCCACCACATATTCATTACATACACACGACCGCTAACACACAACCTTAAAAATAAGGCAAAGAGGTAAAACTCACCACTGGAGACCAGCCCGAGCCACTCTGGTGAACCTGTGTGAACATGAGCATCTATGTTCGTTTGTAAGAAATTATGCACTCTGGTCATATTCCACATACTAGACTAATTTTACAAAGTAAGAAGACAACTTTATAAAATACAACTCATAGTCTTATTATATGCTACCCCTGAATTCTTAAATAGCGTATAAAGAGGGAGTGGGTGGGCAATGGAAGATATGATCTGATACCCCTTGCCCCCAAGTTGGGTTATTTTGAAACTACTTAGGTATCTGGCCAGGGAACCAAAGCTACCTGAGTTCAAATCTAATTTTGCATCTGAGGTATTTTTAGAGCATGACAGAACTTGGTTGGGGTTGTTGAGAAAATATAGGAAATTGTGGAGCAACGAGGCTGCTTTTGAAAAAGTCCAGGAGTAAAGAGAATTACCTGAAATAGTTGATTCAAAACCTGCCCTGTCACAAACGTGCAGGGATCAAAGTTTATTAGTGGTTACCAGGGGCGAGACGGGGGGAGAAAAGGGGAGCCATTGTTTAGAAACACTGAATTTCTGTTTATGGTAAATTTGGCAACGGATACTGGTTATGGGTGCACATGATTAACATAACTAATGTCACTAAATTGTACACGTGAAAAACGTTCGATTAACAAATGTCGTGTTACGTATATTTTTACAAAAACAAACCTGCCCTGCCAGTGGCCTGAATTTGAGCTCTGGTCTGCTGCCCATAGGGAGCAAGCACCCTGGGATAAGTGGAAAGCTCACCACTGTACTTCGAGGTTCAACTCCACACTATAGTTTTTATTTTGATGAAGCCACAACTTAAGCAACTTCCAATTACATATCAATCTTAGAAATTATACTTCTTTCGAGCAACTTGTTGTTGTTAGGTGCTGTCGAGTCGGTTGCGACTCATAGCTACCCTGTGCACAAGAGAATGAAACATTGCCCAGTCCTGTGCCATTCTCATCATCACTGTCATGCTTGAGCCAACTGCTGCAGCCATGTCAATCCATCTCGTTGAGGATCTTCCTCTTTTTCACTGACCTTCTACTTTACCAGGCATGATGTCCTTCTCCAGGGACTGGTCTCTCCTGATAACACATTCAAAGTACATGAGACGAAGTCTTGCTGTCCTTGTTTCTAAGGAGCATTCTGGCTGTACTTTTTCCAAGACAGATCTGTTGGTTCTTCTGGCAGTCCATGGTATAGTCAATATTCTTCGCCAGAACCATAATTCAAAGGCATCAATTCTTCTCCAGGCTTATTCACTGCCCAGCTTTCGCATGCATACTAGGCAACTGAAAATAACATGGCTTGGGTCAGGCTCACCTTAGTCCTCAAAGTGACGTCTTTCCTTTTTCACACTTTAAAGGTCTTTTGCAGCAGATATGCCCAATCTCATACATCATTTGATTTCTTGACTGCTGCTTCCATGGGTGTCAATTCTGGATCCAAGTAAAATTATATCCTTGACAACTTAAGTATTTTCTGTTTATCATGATGCTGCTCACTGGTCGAGTTGTAAGAGTTTTTTTCTTTATGTTGAACAACTTACAGGAGTCAAAATAGAAAGTCTGTTTTCCTTGATGAAAACTTATTTTCCTCAAACAGCTTTACTGAGATATAATTCACACACCAAACCATTTACCATTCTAAATTGGACAATGCACTCAGCATTATGTTTTCAAGGTTCATACATGTCATGGCATGTGTCAGGACTTCATTTCTCTTTATGGCTGGGTAATATTCCACTGTATTATCCATCATCTTCCCTCCCTCATGAGGGTAGGGGTGTTTACCTGTTTACCTGCCTCATTCACCCCCTGCTGTATCCCCAGCACCCAGAATAGCACCCAGCACGTACTTAAAGAATGAACCAATCTGGAAACCCCTGGAACATTTTAGCCCTCGAGTTCCAGCTTCAATAAGCTTTCCTTAGGGATGCCTCTTCTTGGGCTGCTTCTTGCTGTCCCCAAGGAGGGACCAGCGTCTGCCCTGCCCCCATCCTGCGTCACTCGCCAACCTCAGTCTCAGTTCCGCAGTGGAGACCACAGGGGCAGAAATATTCCCTGGCTTCCAAGGTACAGACCCTTGCAAACCCTAGCCTAGCTTTCCCAGTCAGAGCTAAATTTCCTTGTCTTTACTTCTGCGTTTTACTTGTTGTTTCCCTTCCTCTCTAAGAAGGCATCGAAACTAACCCCTCTCAAATGGTTTGGATGAACTTTATACATAAGCCCTCTCCAAACTCACAGCTGCTGTGAGAGAACACAGAGGACTAGCGAACAGACTGTTGAACTGATTAGTGAATAACTGATTCCATGTGCCAATGTAAAAACTTATGGGTTCTGCTTACCTCTTTGTTTAGATTTAATAGTTCAGTGCTATAAAGTTCATCTTAACAGAATATCTTCCCGAATTTTGAAATACTGCTATTACCTGTTCTCCTTCCAATCCCATTATCTTGGGAATTGATGGCCCACATATATCAATATCTAGAAGAGCAATCTAGGGAACAAGAAGAGACGAGAGTGGTTACATAACCGTATGCACTATACTCCAAATGTGTGCGATGGGAGGGGAACAGGGTTAGAGGAAAGGGGGGAAAGGAGAAGACAGCAAGAAACTGGGCCAGACTTGGCCGAGCTAATCTCATGAGGGCGAGTCATAACAGTAATAATGTTTATCTTCCAGGTCACTGAGACAACAGTCCAGAACTCCTAAAAAGAGCTCAGCAAAGACAACACACAATATGGGGGAAGTCAGCACAACTTGACCAAGGCAAAGGCACAGAAGTTTCTTAGACACATCCAAACAACTTGAGGGACTGAGTTGCTAGGGCTGAGGGCTGGGGACCACAGTCTCAGGGGACATCTACGTCAATTGGTGTAACATAGTTCATCATGAAAATGTTCTACACGCTACTTTGGTGAGTAGTGTCTGGGGTCTTTACAAAGCTTGCAAGTGGCCATCTAAAATACAACTATTGGTCCTATCCCGTCCCAAGTAAAGGAGAATGAAGAAAACCAAAGACACAAGGAAAATATTAGCCCAAAGGACTCATGGACTGTATGAACCAGAGCCTCCATCACCCTGAGCCCAGAAGAACTAGACGGTGCCCAGCTACCACCGCCAACCGCTCTGACAGGGATCACAACAGAAAGTCCCAGACAGAGAGGGAGAAAAATGTAGAACAAAATTCAAATTCACGAAAAAAGACTAGACTTACTGGTTTGACAGAGATTGGAGGAACCCTGGAGACAATGGCCCCTGAACACTCTGCTAACTCAGAAGTGAAATCATTCCCAAAGCCCATTTTTCAAAGATTAGACAGGCCTATAAAGCAAACAATAACACACATGAAGAAAGTGCTTCTTAATTCTTAGTCTAATCAAATATATGAGACCAAATGGGCAACTCCTGCCCAAAAGCAAGACAAGAAGGCAGGAAGGGACAGGAAAACCAGACTAATGGGGACAGGGAACCTGCGGTGGAAAGGGGAAGTGTTGTCACATTGTAGGGATTGCAACTGACGTCATAAAACAACATGTGTATACATTTTTTAATGAGAAATTAATCTGAGCTGTAAACTTGCACCTAAAGCACAATCAAAAAGAAGAACTCAGCAAAGCTCATGGACACCGTAGAGCTCAGCCTGGCCTAGCTCTAGGGTGACCTTGTGACCTGGGCATCAGGCCATTTCGAGACTCAGGCTCAGCCACTGTTTACTCAAACCTTGCCATGTGACAGGCATGGGTTGGGCACTTTCGTGTTTGGTCTCACTTGTTGCCTAGGGCTGGGAATCATTATCTTTACTTTACAGAAGAAGAAACTGAGGTTCAGCGAGGCTCAGTGATTTGTTCAATCAGCAAGAGGCAGAGCTTGGATGTAAATCAAGCTCTCCTGACTCCAAGGCCAGGGCTCTTTACATTACCCCATAGGACCTCTGACCAAGCCCTGTTTTCCAGTGACCCTGAAGGTTAATGGTGGCTTAGGCTAAACTTTCAAAAAAGAAAAAATAAGAAGCAAATCTACAAAAGTGTTTTGCTAGTGACTTAAGTACAGCATCAAACACCTCCTTCCACCCCAGATGCCCTGCTTTGCCTGTCTGACTGATAAATGAGACAGCCTCAGGAACCCTTTAAGAGTAAGGCTAGCAATCATCTTGAAAGCGGTAATGTCTTGGAACCAAAGTGCAGAACCTTTGGTTAACTTTTAAACTTGCCCCAAACTTGTTTCTTGCTTCCCTCTTCAATCCTCTCAGCAAACCCAACCTCCTACTTCCTCAGCACGTACGATCTGTACCTGTGGTCAGAAAAACTTTCAGACACTGATCAGCCATCTGCCTCATGCGCCCTCTGCTGGTCATCAGAAGAGCAAACCAGAATGATACACTCAGTCTCTGACAACTGGACTTCACATTCCTTTGCCTTCTTGATCTCAACACTTGTGGTTGATGTGTGTTAACAGTCTAGACATTTTCTCTTCTTCTTTCTTTCTTTTTTATTGTGCTTTAGACGAAGGTTTACAGGGCAAATTAGTTTCTCATTAAAGAATTAATACGTATATTGTTTTGTGGCATTGGTTGCCAACCCCATGATGTGTCAACACTCTCACCTTCTCTATCTTGGGTTCCCCACTTCCATTTGTCCACAGACATTTTCTATTAGAGCCTCATGATTTGGAAAATTGTACTGATCACTAAACCCCTAACTGAGACTATCTTCAATACTCTTCAGAGGCCACTCAGTCTCCATGGCTCTCCTTTTGGGAACAACTTAATCAGTTTCCTTTGGGAGAACGACAGTCCCTACAAACAAGGGAGGAGACCCTGGGTGGCGCAAATGTTAAGTACTGGACTACTAGCCAAAAGGTTGGTGGTTTGAACGCACTCAGAGGCACATGGGGAGACAGGCCTGGCAATCTGCTTCCAAAATGCCACAGCCTTGAACACCCTACGGAGCAGTTCTACTCTGCACACATGGGTCACCATGAGTCAGAATCGACTCAACAGCAATAAATAACAACAATGCAACCAAGAGAGTGAATCCTGAGTATAACGATACGTATACCCAAACTCACCACCATCGAGTCCATTTCGACTCATAGCGATCCTATAGGACAGGGTAGAGCTGCCCACAGGGTTTCCAAGGCTGTAATCTTTACAGGAGCAGACTGCCACGTCTTTCTCCGTCGGAGCGGCTAGTGGGTTCAAACTGCCAAGCTTTCGGTTAGCAGCCTAGCACTTAAGCACTGTGTCACCAGGGCAAGCAACAGGTGATGTGCACTCACTTCCGTGGTGGTACCTGAAAATACTCCTGACAAGCTCCTCCTATCCAGATCTGGATAACCTAAGAAAACAGACTGCTTTGCCAGTCAACTAGCCAATACAAAACTGAGCCTCAAATGCCAAGAAATTGCTGGATAACAGAACAATTAATCAACAAGTATACTTTGAACCTGCTCAGCTCAGTACTTTGGCTAGGTTACAAACCCATTATCTGTAAAACAAAAAATCACCAGCCCTTCGTATGCCAGTGAATAGAATAATCATTATTATTATTGTAGACATTTACTGAGCCCTTATTATATGTTGGAGTCCCTGGGTAATGCAAATGGTTAATGCACTTGGCTGCTAACTGGAAGGTTGGTGGTTCAAGTTTATCCAGAAAATCAGCCATTGAAAACCCTGCGAAGCATAGTTCTACTCTGACACTCATGGCGTTGCCATCAGTTTGACAGCAACCGGTACTGGTGCTAACGCTTTACATGCTTTACATCCATTCAGTCTGACAAATCTCACTCAGTCCTCTGAGTGCCATTGTACAGATGAGAAAACCGAGGCAGTGACAACTGCCTGCCAACTTGCACAAGGTCACAGCGCTAGGGTAGGTGGAGCTGGGATGCAAACCTGGGCCATCAGACTTGGGCCTGTGTCTTAGTCACAATGCTCTACTGCACCCCCACTCCTCCCAGCCCCGAGTGTGAAACCCAAGTTCTGAGTCTTCCTCTCCTCCAAAAGGTTGTGAAGCTCCATTTCTTCCACCTCCAGCGCTTTGCCCTCAATTGTTCCCAGCCCTTTTGTTCCACCCACTGCCCTTGTTCTGACCCTCATGGCCTCTCATGGAGACAAGAGCAACATCTAGCTGGTTTGCCACCACTCTCAAATGACACTCAATCACACATTGGGTGTCACAGCAACACTCCTACAGCAGCGTTCAAATCATGCTGCTTCCCTACCCAGTGGTCTCACCAGAGCATTCAAATGGTCCAGTTGGGCCCAGCCTCACCCTCGGCTCTCCATTCCAGCACTCACTGCAGACTGCCTTTCTCCCAAGTCTGCCTGGCTGCCCCTCCTCTATGCCTTTGTCTCCTCTCTGCTCCCCTACATGTCCCATCATATTCCTGGGCCCTGCCCAGATGTCCCCTGCCAGTCATCTCTCCCCTCTCCAAATTCCTGGAGGACGTCTTGGCCCGTGTATACCATTACATCCCGTGGGTAATACCAACTACACGCCATTACAATGTACCATATACATTCCACAGAGAAGCCCTCCTGGCCCACCTGATGGCCAGAGACGTGGCTTTATAAAATGACCAGAAATGAGTTAAAACGAAGCATTCAGAGCCCAAGTGAGTGACAGAAACACAGAGCTTTACAGACCACCTGGCCCAACCTTCTCACTGGCCCAGAAGGCAAGTGGTCGCCCAAGATCCAATGCTCCTCCGAAGATGCTCTTCCCCAGCACCACTGCTTCTGGCACTATGACCCAGACCAGGTCAGCAAACTACAGCCCACAGGCCAAGTCCAGTCTGCACCCTGTTTTTGGACAGCCATAAGCTATAAACATTTTTAAACAGTTGAGGGGCAAAAAAAAATCAGAAGAGTAATTCTATTTCATAACATGCAAAATATTATTTGATATTCAAATTCGTCACAATAAAGTTTTATTAGAACACAGTCATGGTCAACTGCTCACGTACTGTCTATGGCTGCTTTCATGTTACAACAGCAGAGCTGAGTAGTTACAATGAGACAAGATGGGCCCCAAAGCCCAAAATATTCACCATCTGGCTCTTTACAGAAAAAACTTGCTGACCCCTGGACCACACTCTAATTTCTTATTTAAAAAAAAAAAAGGATTCTTGGAGTGCTCGGATACAGTAAGGTGCCTCTGTCTTTGTGTATGTGTGTATTGACGGTATGGCAGAGCGGTGGGCTTGGTCCCCATTGCCCACTCTGGCTGCTTGGTCTATTTTTTTTTTCTTATATTGAGGTTTTGAATAGTATTTCATTCTGAAATAACGAACGGTGGCATGAATACTATGTTAGGGGGAAAAAAGGAAAGAAAGCAACAGTATTCATGGTTTTATTAAATATAAAATGGTAATTAAGTGAATATTTGGATCATTTTCTACAGTCGATGTAAAATTATGAGTCCCAAAGAATAATGCAGATTTCTTAAATCACAGGTTATCACAAATTTCCACTTGACCTTTTTGATAAAAAGAACCGTTTTTCTTCCTCATCCTACCACACTTTTTATTAAAGCTAAAATTCAGAGCAGCACCGGCTAATCTGAGTTTTCATGCTCATCTGTACATTTGGGCAGAAGAGAATGTCCTAGTGCAAACCTCTCCTTTGCAAGTCGAATAAAAAATATTTTAGGCTTTGCAGTCCAAGAGGCAAAATTGAGGCTAATTATGTAGGTACCTATAAAATATAAAAACCAAACTCATCTGATAGGCTATAAAGACAGGAGGCGGGCTAGATTTGGCCCACAGGCTAAGGTTTGTTGACCCCTGGACTATATAGAAAGGCAGAAAGGGGTTGATAAAGAAGAGGAAGAAATCTAAACTTGGTGTAATAAAAGAGATGTACACTGCTATTCCTCTTCACAGCTAGAAAACCCAATGAAACACTTTAATCTTACCACTAGGTGTTCCCCAGGTGTCACTGGGTGATGCAAACAGTTAATGCGCTCAGCTGCTAACCCAAAGGTTGGAGGTTCAAGTCCACCCAAAGGCACCTCAGAAGAAAGTCCTGGTGATCTGCTTCTGAAAAATCAGCTACTGAAAACCCTATGGAGCTCAGTTCTACTCTGACACACATGGCGATGCCATGAGCCGGAGTCCACTTGACAGCAAGTGGTTAGGTATACCCTTGTTCGTTCTGGTTCCAAAGAGGCCTCCTCAATTTAATCTAAGGAATCAGCTACCAAAAGCCATCACAAACCCTCAGACAGAAAGAGCATCTCCCAGTTTCCCCCAAGGTCCCACCTGTGTGTTTTCATCCTCTGCCAGGCCGTGGGCGAGGTGGGCACTGAACGTGCTTTTCCCGACGCCGCCTTTCCCAGACAGCACCAAGATTTTGTGTTTCACGGTTTTCATTTTCTCTTTGATTTCCTCTATGGCTGCAAAGAAAGCAGTTTAAGTGATAAAGTCCCTAAGCAGATACCGAGTGTCACTTCTCCAACGGGATAGAAGGAGCTAAGTCCTCGGGCTGTGTGAAATATCCTTTAATTAATAGTATTTAGTGCTATAAAGAAAACAAGGCTATTCTCACCACCTGAAATTTCCTTGTTTATGTTTGTCTACCCTCACTAGAAGATAAGCTCCACGAGGGTGGGGACTGTCTGAAGTAGAGTTCTATCTCTGCTCCAGAACAGAACTTCACATAATGACCCTCCACCTGGGAGCAAAATCCCACAGGGGACATGTGGCCACGTCTGGAGGCATTTTGAAGCCCTGGTAGTGCAGTGGTTAAAGTGCTCAGCTGCTAAGCAAAAGATCGGCGGTTCGAACCCACTAGCTGCTCTGCAGGCTGCTCCACAGGAGACAGACGTGGCAGTCTGCTTCCATAAAAATTTACAGCCTTGGAAACCCTATGGGGGCATTTCTACTCTGTCCTATAGGGTTGCCATGAGTCAGAACTGACTCCATGGCAATGGGTTGGAAGTATTTTTGGCTGGGGGCGGGTGCTACTGGAATCTCGTGGGCAGAGGCCAAGGATGCTGCTAAACATCCTACAACGCACAAGACAGCCCCTTTGATGAAGAATTATCCAGCTCCAAATGTCAACAGTGCTAAGGGTGAGTCACCCTGATAAACAGCAGATGCTTAATACATATCTGTCACTGATAACTCTCATTTATTGTACACTTCATTGTGCTTCAGATATCTCATTTCAAATCCTTACAACACTGTGAGGCACCTATTTTCCTCCCCATTTTCAATGAGGAAACTGAGGCTCAGAGGTTAAGCCCCTTGCTCAAGATCACAGAGCTTGCAGTGGGGCCAAGAATCAAACCCAAGTCACTCCCTCAACTCCTTTAAATTCTTCTCTCAGTCTCCTGCTTTTCAAGCTTCTATTTAGGAAGGTTCCCAGAGTCCTCCCCACCCTTGAGTTCTCCCTTGGAAGTATTTATCACTGTAATGATTTATTATCCGTCTCCTCTATTAAACTAAACTCCAACAGGGCAGTGAGCGCGTCTGTTTCACCCACACCGGTACCCCCAGCCCACAGCACTGTGCCTAGTAAGTGATTAATACACATTTCTATTGAATGATTGAGAGAATCCTTCCTCACAAGGAAGAAAATTTTGTCCAAACGCGACACAGCTAAGTGGCTGGCGGAGCCATGATTTAAGCCTGGGGCCTCCCTGTCTTAAAAGTGTGTCTATTGCGCTAGTTCCCTCAGCGGACACGACCTTAGTCGGCTACAGTCACTCAAACCCCTAGCCCCGCCCCCCAATTTCGTCGACTTCTTTCCACGCCCCTCGTTCTCTGGCCCCGCTCCCCTTAACACGCTCACTGGCCCTACGCCTGTCACTCATCCTTCAGGTCCTACCCCCTCCATCACCACCCATTCTCTTCCACGCCCCGCCTCTTCCGGGCCCGTGCCTGTCGCTTCCCGTTGAAGCCTTGCCCCTTCCTCACCCGGGTCCGGAGCGGCGCCGGCCCCAGAAGCACACAGCCGCTGGTTGGGGCACCCCTGACATGAGGCCCCTCGGCCCGCCTGGGCGCTGCCGGTCCCGGGGCAGTCTGCGCGGATACAAGAATATAGTTAGAGTAGCTCCCGTTCCTTCAGATCCACCACCCATGTCTCTTCGGCGCGCTCACCCTGAGGCACCTCCTGCATTCCGCCGCCTTTGCCGCCGAGCGGTCACCGGAACTCGCCGCTGTGCATTTCCGCTCCGAGACGTCCAATTTGACCTCCTGCCTGCGCGAAATAAGTCTCGGAAATAGAGGGCTCTGCGCACGCGCGAATCTCGTGCCGTGAGGGTGGGGCTCTTTTATTTTTGTTCCTTAAAATTGAGCTGCGGGCGTTTATCATAAATACTTAAGTAAGTATCTCTTAGGATCAGAGGTGTTATCCTACCTAATCTTAATGCCATTTTCATACCCAAGAAATTTAACATTAACAATACGGTTTGTATTCAGACATAGTTTATATATTCAACTATGTTCATATTCAAAGTGCAGTTTATATTCAAATTGCCCCAAATTGTCCCAAATAAGACTTTACCCCCCTATCCTGGATGCACTCAAGGATCACACGTTGCCGTTTTGATACTATGTATCTTCAGTCTCCTTTAATCGAGAACAGCTCCCTTCCCTTTTTTGTATGTGCGTTTTTCATGACATTGATAATTTTGAGGAGTCCAGGCCAATTGTCTTGTAGCATACCCCATTATTGTGATTTGTCTGACTTCCTCCCTCATGATTAGATTCACATTAAACTTTTTGGTGGAACACGCACACGAGGCATTTCATGTCGGTGCATTTCTTGGTGATGTGAAGCTTGACCACTTGGTAAAGGTGTTGTTGCTGTGTGCCCTTGAGTCAATTCCGACTCATAATGACCCTGTAAGACAGAGTAGAACCGCTCCATAGAGTTTCCCAGGCTGTAATCTTTACAGGAGTAGATCGCCAGGTCTTTCTCCCAAGGAGCCACTGGTTGGTTCTAACCGCCAACCTTTTGGTTAGCAGCTGAGCACTTAACCAATGCACCACCAGGGCTCCTTTTGGTAAAGGTAGTGTCTGCCATATCTCTCCATTTGTAATTAGTAAGGATTGCCTGGTGTGACACTTTGTGATCTTGTGAATGGCCTGTTCTCTATCAACCTATCAGTGGTTTTGGTATAATTCTTGCCGGAATCAGTTATACTGGGCTGTTAACCACTGTGTCATACAACGGGAGGTAAGATGCAAACTCTTCTACTTTTACTGAGGAAATTGAGGTTCAGAGAAGTTATTGCCGAAGGTCTTGCAGCCAGGAGGCTTCTCCAGGGCTCCCTGACCGAAGGCTCTTTTTCTGTCTGCCACAGTGCAGAGGGCTGAGGTAGGGCCACTTCAGAGATTCCTTGTTGATGTCCCTCAAGACATTCCCGGCAGATTCTCCCTAGCTGCTTTCAGTGGTGACACCATCGTACATCCTTCTTTTGTCCCTAGTTACAAAGGGTGCTTCCCACTTGGCACTCAGCCAGTCTTTGCACGGTGGCGGGAAAGAAATGTCTACTGTTTTTTTGGTCTTTCCCTCTCACTCCTCCTCACAAGACTATCAAAATGATCAAGCGTTCACACTAAAAAGTAACATAAAATGAAATACACTTCTCAACCTGGCTCCAGCCAAACTCCTGTCCCCCCTGGGATGGAATTTTCCATCCATTTGTAGTAGGAGCAGGGGGGCAGAAATTAGGTAACAAAGCAGACTCGCAGGCCCCACCCCGATCTCCTGAATCAGAAACTTGAGGGCTGGGCCAGGGAATCTGCATCTTCACACTCTCACCAGATACAGTTATATCCACTAAAGTTTGAGAACTATTTCTTTACTCACACAAATCAGATCATGTCATTCAGATGCTTATAAACCTTCAATGGCTCCCTATGGCCCAGAGGAAAGCCCAATTGTCACAAGATTTTCAGTGGCCTCCGCGACCTTTTACCCCTCCCGCCTCATTTCTTGCTGAGTGCCACCATGAATGCTGAACTCTACCCACTGGGCATCTTGTAGTTCCCCAGGCAGCTGGTTCATTTGATTTCAATCTCACCGCTCACACAGGTCCTTCTGCCAGCAATGTCCTTCCCCCAGCCCTTGCCTGCCCAGCCTTACCCAGTCCTCCGTGACATCTCAGCTGTCAGCATCATCACCTCACCAAAGCCATTCTTGGCCTGCGGAAATGACTGCTTTCTCCTTTGCTGAAATATACTGTCTTCCAAAAGTCTTAGTGCCAGTTTGTTTTAATAACTTCAGAATTATAAATGCTACAGACTTACAAAAAATAAGCACTTGGTTTTAATTTCCTTTATGCTTATTTAGTCATGTGAGTTTGAAATAATAGATTCTAAATTTAAATTTTTGTTTCAGTCCCTCTGATCAAAAATGGAGAATGGTGATTAAAACAGAAAAATTAAAATTAGAAATTTGTTATTTAACACTTACAAAACGAAATAGGTGCCAAAGAAATTTAAACAGTGAGATTTAAAAATTATTTTAAAAATAAGTCTGCAGATTTATACTTCTGGAATTATTAAAGTTTAAACCTTCACTAAGACTTTTGAGACACCTGTGTATATCCTCGATAGCAGGAGTTCTCAGCCTGGCTTCACATTAGGGTCACCTGGGGAGCTTTTAAAACATACCTCTGCCTGGCCGTCCCACTCACACCAATTAAATCAGAATTTTGGGAGTGGGGCCTGGGCATGTTTTTAAAACTCTTCAGGGTTCATTATTGCACCATGGAGTGGTTTATAGTGCATGTTCTGAATTGGATGATGTGTTCAAATCCTGACTGTTTTTTTTAAATTTATTGTTGTAGTTTAAGTGAAAGTTTACAATTCAAGTTAGTGTCTCATACAAAAATTTATGCATACATTGTTATGTGACCCTAATTGCTCTCCCTATACTGTGACAGCACACTCCTCCTTTCTACCCTGGATTTCCCATGTCCATTCAACCAGCTCCTAACCCTCTCTGCCTTCTCATCTCACCTCCGGACAGAAGCTGCCCATTTAGTCTCATGTATCTACTTGAGCTTAGAAGCACAGTCTTCATGAGTATCATTTTATGTCCCACAGTCCAGTCTAATCTTTGTCTGAAGAGTTGGCGTTGGGAATTGTTTTAGTTCTGGGTTGACAGTCCTGGGGCCATGCTTTCTGGGGTTCCTCCAGTCTCAGTCAGACAAGTAAGTCTGGTCTTTTTACTAGAATTTGAGTTCTGCACCCCACCTTTCTGCTGCTCCATCAGGGACTCTCTGTTGTGTTC